ATGTCAGTGTCATTCCAAATGTCAGGGGCAGACATTCATGGTCAAGCAATCATAATGAGGGGTCAGACTATCATGGGAATGTTGTTTGTAGGTGTAATGATATTATGGGTTTGACTTGGCGGATGTTTTCACTCTCTGAGTGCTGTCTAATTATATCTGTATAAAGTGACAAAGACCAAGGTTTCCTTCGTCAGGATTTAAAGAGCTTCTTGAGTGATTGGATCAAACTTTGACCACACTGGTGTTTCTGAGCTAAACACCCATTTCCTTCGCCTGTGTTGGTGCTTTAATCAAGCCAGCGTACGGTACCAGAAGTTAGGCGCTGACCTTCAAAATAAAACCATATATTGATACAACGGGAAATGTATGAAATAAAACCAAGCAACCTACTTAACAAAATCGTAAAACTGTCGTGGTTGTTGTTATAAGCTGAACATAAAAAACAACACTACGATGTCATGCAGTAACAATTGTCACACTACAATCGTGTTCAGCATGTTTTAGCTATCTGCTTTGGTTAGCTAGCTAACTGTTAACCGGACATCATTGGTGTAGCGTTAGCTTCATGCTGGCTAGCTTGACAGCAAGCTATCTTGGCGATAGGGAAGTTTATCTTCACGCATTTGGAGCAAATCCCAAGTTCTTTCACTTGGGGGTATGCTCACCATCCCACCAGCTGGTTTTGCCATTAACTTATACCTTGTGAAGTGAGGTAATGTGATCTAAGTGCTTCATTAGCTATTTCTGAATGTAACATGGCGTTAGCTAACGTCCTGCTGCAAAGACAGCTAGCCAATCTACTGTGTGTTCTTGTGTAACAGACTAAAGCTAGCTAAGAGTATACTGTAGTGCATGAAATGTATATATATGGATGTATGTATGTATAAAATGAAATTTCTGTTCGTTAAAAAGTCACCAGGATAATGTAGCTAGGTAAAAGAGTCATTTGACTGTAACTACGAGTGGTCACTAGATATAGCTAGCTACCCAGGTTATCGCATGTGTAAAGTGACTATAGCATCGTCCATTGTTCATTCAGTGCTAGCGCTGACTATTACCGTCACGCTAAAGTCCTCGGTTGTGAGAACAGATCTATGCATGTAGCTACGTACGTTAAATATAAAAGATAAGATGGTCATATTAATTTAGTATCGATTTCGCTAACTAAGTACGTTAACTAGACCTGTACACACAGTCATTGCTCAGCTGATGAACCTGAACGAGTGTATCAGTACATCAACGTCAACATTACTTAGCTACGTAAATTATCTTCCATCAGTGACCTGTAATCTCGGTTTCAAAGATCAGCTGCAGCGTTTAGAATGAAAATAAAGAGAAAATCATTAACTTAGTTGCATATGAGCAGATTTATCAGTAACACTTGCATTCTCTCTTAACTTTGTTGGAACAGCTGGAGAAACCGAGCACAACAGACACTACAAAGAGGCTGGATATTGACACTACCTGTGGAGGATGTCATCACCAATATACTACAACCAAGACAGTGTCACACGTTTCAAAAAAAGAAAAGCTCGCTTCTCGTTCAGTGAAGTCCACATACTATTGGATGAAGTGAGAAGGCATCGTATGGTTGTTGTTGGTATGTCTTCAACTGCTTTTTTCATTCTCCTTCTAATAGAAGAGATTGTGCATTGAGGTTTTGTGTCAGGGTTGCTGGTTAGTGAATGAGTGATTACACTGGTGCTGGGAGCAAAATAGTTTGGACTTACAGTACAAAGGTACTCTAAATTACAGTAAACCTGTGAGTAACAAAATGTTACGTGTTAAAATATTGTGGCTGGAGAAACCGAGCACAACAGACAGTGTCATTTTGTTTTTATCCCCAAAGGCAAATTCAATCGCGGTGTGCCAACAGAAATGAAGAAGCGCACATGGGCAGAGATCACTGCACGTGTTAATGAGATTGGGGAGTGTCAACGTGAAGTCATCGAGGTCATCAAGAAATGGTCTGACCTCAAGTGTGACACCAAGCGGAAAGTGGCTGCCATGCGGTCAGGGACGGTGCCCAACAGGGGCCTCAACTCACGTCTTTCCCGAGATCTTAACCAGACAGAGAAAATTGTGCTCCAGATCCTTGAGATGGATGAGGAAGACCAGAGTACAGGGGACTTTGGCCCACTGGGAGATGACAATGATGTACCAGAGGAGGAAGAAGAAATGGAAGAGGAGGATATGATTGGGATGCAGAAATCTCCTAATGGCGGTTTAGACATGACATCTATGCCCCCACCACCCTCCTACACCATGAGTGGACATGCACAGTCAGGTAGGAGAGAGGATCGTTTTCTACCAAGTTACTGAATAATAGTATTTCTTGTGAGTAAAGGAATAGTTCACCCAAAAATGAAAATTTTGTATTTACTCACCCTCATTTCAGTTTGCTTATCACTGAGGTTGTTGTCTGCACAACACACATAAAGTTACAACTATTGTTAGCTATGTCACCTTCTTTTGAAAATGCACAAATGATGGCATGTTAGTGACTCTTTTTAGCTTCAGATAATCTCTTCCATTTAATAGCTAAATAAAGAGCTTATTGAGGAGAAATGGATTCAGATTGTTTTACTCAAATTCCTTAAATTTGAACATTGCAGGGGACTCATCACAACCTTCCTTTGATGTGCAGTATGAAGTACCTGCAACAGAAGGTCAGTTGTCAAGATATGGATATAAATTAAAAGACTGAAATAAGAATTGTAATAAGAATATAGGGCTGTACACAGCTAAGGATTTTGTCAGTCAGCTCTTAAGTGGACTATTTATTTCTTTTTTCTTTTTTTAGTGCATATAGACTATCAGAAAATTGAATTTCAGTCTTTTATCTAATGACTCGACTATTCGATTAGTAGAGTGCAGCCCTATATGAAAACACTTCTCTTTCTTCCTCTTTCTTTGACTCAAGATGCCGAAGCTGCATTTGGAGACTCAGATGAAGACCAAAGAGATGATACACTTCCTTCTGCTCAGGCAGCAAAACCGACAGAGGATCATCAAGGAAACGATGGCAACCAGAAACAGGGACGACCTCAGATGTCCTCTGGATCTTCACAGTCATCAGCTACGCTTCTGTTGCCAGGTCAGCCCTCACAGACCACCAGGGACACCATGCTACATAATGCATCGCTGAGCCTTCAGGAGCAGCATGCCACCAACATGCTGCTGGAGACGGTTTCACGCTCTCTAGAGCTACTGTCTGAGTCAGTGCAGCAGCTGGCAGAGACTCAGCAGGAGTTTGTACGCGAGTCACTGCTGCTCCAGCGAGAGACGGTGCAAGTTCTCAGAGACTTCACAGGTGGAGCTATTGCACTCATGCATGACAAACTGAATGGGCGGCCAACATTATAGCAACAGAGCATCAGACAGTCATTAAGTTGTGTCACTGACTTCATACACGGCCTTCAGGCATAGGAAACGTTTAAGTTCCTTTGGACTTCACCGCTGGTTACTGTACTCTTCAGTAGTACGTGTCAGATTTTCCTTGGCAGGGCTAGAAATGAACTTTGTTAGTGTCTCAGATCCTACTTTAAACTGTCCCAAATCAAACAACCACGGACCCAAATTAAGTTCCTTATTTATTTTTTACATTATAAATATGTCCAATATCTTGTTTCAGTAGCTTGCATGATGTCCATACCTCACCATCAGAGTTCTGCTAGTTCTCTGAGGTTATGTCTGAATAAGAGCTTCACTTGTCTTTATTTATAGCCTGCTTCTTTTACTCCTGGGTTTGGTTATCATTATTGTAATCTGTTGGATCAATAAGTGTATCAACTACATAACTACACTCTAAATGCAAACCTTCTAACTGATATACAGTGATGGAAATTTAAATAAGACACTTGGGACACACAGTAAGCAGTTTATTTTACTTTAAATACCAATGACGGCTAAAAAAAAATCAATTTAAATCTATTTAAATTTGTATTCAGCAGGTTTCTTTATCACTTTTTACTCACAATTGTACCTTAATTTTTATTCAATCATTTTCATTTTTAAGGCAGAGCAGTTGAACAGTTACATTGTACTTTAAGTAAAATAATACAACCCACTTCCAACTATTCCCACATCTGCAGAACTGAAGTGTTACAGAAGCTACAGTAGCAAGCACCCTCATTAACAAGCAGTTTAATGGTTATACAACTAGAACCTGATCCTAGGCTGAAAAAACATAGAAAAATCAACTGGACTAGGTTTTTAGGTTGAAGACGTTTCACCCATCATCCAAGAGGCTTCAATCAGTTCTGCCCGACTGGTGTTTCAGTCCTTTGATGCCCAACAATGTCCCCTAACTATATTTAACGACTATAATGACTACGGCTATAACGACTCAGTCGTGGGGACATTGTTGGGCATCAAAGGACTGAAACACCAGTCGGGCAGAACTGATTGAAGCCTCTTGGATGATGGGTGAAACGTCTTCAACCTAAAAACCTAGTCCAGTTGATTTTTCTATGTTTTTTCAGCCTAGGATCAGGTTCTAGTTGTATAACCATTAAACTGCTTGTTAATGAGGGTGCTTGCTACTGTAGCTTCTGTATCGTAGAGTTGTTAATTAACCGACTAGCTGTTGTATGATACTGACATTTTCACTATTTTGTCCACCCCAACAATTGGCAGGTACAAGTGGGAGAGGGAGGGGTGTGGGACTGTTCTCTCAGGCACAAAGTCCACCAGAACCTGCTCAGCTTTAAGTTATGTGGCAGTTTAGGTTCTATAGTTAGCATACATACACTCAGCTTTTGCTTTAGCGTATTCATAGAAATTAGCGAGTAGCCACCTAGCTCGCTTTGATAAACACACGGGCAGAGCTGAAGTGATCGCTTTTCTGCAAGTTTATGATTGTAAGGCAGTCTTCTTTATTGTCCGAAATGCCACATCTTTGTGTCCCAGGTGCTATTTTTTACTGTCCCCGGGACAACATTAATTTCAATTCCTGTTCCGTGGTTATATTTTAAAACTTATTTGTAGAAACCTTGTATTGATGGATTTACTGTGTGTGTGGTTACATGAAAATGGATCAAAACAATAACCAGTGCTAGCCATAAAGACAACATGTGGAGGGTGTTTTATTTGCTACTGAAAGTGAGATTCCACATGTTGTACAATATTTCTTGTTAAGCATTCACCACATTTTAAAGGCTTTACATTCTTTTATTGTTGACATGTGAAGAATGAGTCTTTAAAAAGTCAGTCAAATCCATTTGTGTGTACTTGTATAGGCTGTAGCTCTTCTTCCATCATCTGGAAATGATCACATGTACTGTAATGAGTGGATTTCTGCACCTGACCATTATATGGTCCATATGTGTGAAAGCAAAACAAGGTGTGTTAGGCACTTTGAAAATATGTGTAACTGAATAATTTGTGGTTGTCTGATTTAGTTGTTTTTTATGTTACAAGAACACTTGCAAGTTTCAGTACTTTTAAACAATGAATAAACCCCTTATGTATTTAAACAGAGCATAAGTCATTTTCCAAGCTGTAGTGGACATAATTCAGTAATGTCATATAATAATTCTGATATTGAGTTGTTAGAAAGCATAAATCCCTCTGGAGCTGCACTTTGGGCCTTTATGATCTCCCTTCTCCTCTGTCTCTATGCATCTATATGCCACCATTACGTGTCTCTAACTGTGGGTCTCCTCTCTCCTGTAGTCTCTCTCTCTCTCTCCTTGTACCTTTCTGCAGGTTGCCCTGGCTCTGGAGCTGCGTTTCTGATGTACGGTCCCCGGCCACATCAACCTGACCAGTGTTTGATTGTTTGTTTGTTGTGTCTTGATGCTTTTCTTTTCTTTTCTCTCTCCTCTATCCACTCACCCCAACCGGTTGAGGCAGAAGGTTACTTTAAAGTGTCCTGAGATGACTTTTGTTGTGATTTATATACACAATACAAATAAAACTGAATTGAATTGAATAATTAAAGTATATGTTAGCATCTTTAGATTGGTTCTAATACAATACAAAATCATCCAACCTCACTGATGAATCATGCATAACAATCAAATCATATCTGGGACGGACCATCACACAGTGGAAACGTGTACTGTGGTCAGACCAATCAGTATTTCAGGTCTTCTTTGGAAGGAATGGACGCCATGTGCTCTGAACCAAAGATGAAAAGGACCATTCAGACTGTTAGCAGCAACAAGTTCAAAAGCCAGGGTCTGTCATGGTCTGGGGTTGTGTCAGTGCCCTTGGTAAAGGTAACCTACACTTCTGTGATGGCTCCATTAATGCTGAACAATACACAGAGAGACTTTGTTCCAACATACTGTATGCTGCCTTCAAGACGACGTCTTTTCCAGGAACGTCCATGCATATTCCAACAAGACAACACAAAACCTCATCCTGCCACATTACCAAGGCCTGGCTGTGGAGGAAAAGGGTGTGAGTGCTGGACTGGTCTGTCTGCAGTCCCGACCTGTCCCCAGTAGAAAATGTGTGGCACATTTTGAAACACAAATTGTGTCAACGAAGACCCAGGACTGTTGTGCACCTTAAGATTAGTTTGCAGGAAAAATGGGACAAAATGACACCTGACACATTTAATCACTTGGTGTCCTCAGTCCCTAAACGTCCTTTAGTGTTGTGAAAAGGAACAGAAACATCACACTGTGGTAAATGCTTTACTGTCCCAACTTTATTTTGAATGTGTTGCAGCATCAGAGTGGAAGTGAGTGTTTATTTTGACCATAAACAAAATTGAGTGTCCAAAAGTAAGTAGGCCTTTAAAAACAATATATATTATCCACAATTTTTAAGATTTACATTTTAAATAGAAATGAATGGACTTGGGGTTCAGCCACAATAAAGATAGGGAAGTCAGAAGGTTGAGAAGCAATACACTGGCTTTGTTCTTTTTATGGAACATAGAAAGAAACATAGAATGACCTCAGATTTATCCTGTATGGTCTGTTATGAAGTGAGGACATGCTCATCCTTCACTGAAACACATCTTAACACTGTTGGTAGGTGGAGACAGAGGTCTGTCAGGCTGAAGATGTCCAGCCAGTTTTGCAGGTTCATATAATTTGCAGTAGGAGTTTAAACTGTGTATAAAAAGTTTATACAATGTATAACAGCAGAAACAACTAATGCTAGATGCCCTATAAAAATACTGGATGCATTTTGTAAGGGGATTTTGAAAGAAGATACATTTGGCACCAAGTTGCAAATGATAGTGATGCCTAGTTTCTGTTGTTTGCTCTGGTCCTGTGTTCCAGGTTGAATCTCAGTGGTTTAAATGAGGGCCATTATTTTGTTTGTTGTGCTCCCTCTTCAGTCTTGACATGCTGTTTGGATAGGCTAGAACAACCTTAGTTATAAGGGGCTATACAAAAAATACCAGGGAGGGGCCACTGGCAAAAATCTCGTATTTCAGTTTCGTTGTTAACATTTTACATGCACTGTTTGCAAAAGCAAACAAACAAACAAACAAACAAAAAATAACCAGCAACACCCTCCCCCTAATATCCAAACATTTTTTAAAAATGCTGCCCCAAAGGCTCTGAATGGCCTTAACTTTTAACAGCATCTGAAATAAACAAGAGTCAGCAGCCCATACACAAGATCTCTGGATATTCTTAACAAATATGTTATTATCACATATGATATACTGTACATATAATAATTAATATCATCTAAATGTTTGTCTCTTTCTTTTGATTTGTTTAATTATTTAAATCTTTACAAATGATATATTGTGTTTTGATGCTTTGCCAGCATAGTTTATTGAAATGTTCATGCCGATAAAGAGCCTTTGAATTGAATATCAGGGTCTTGTGTTTTATAATGAGGAAACATGTCACCCACTGCAGGGGTGTGTTCCCTGATTTGTTTTCAGTTGCTTTTAAACAACAATGGAGGTATGGCACATATGAATATGATAATCCAGGTTGGAGACTGACAGACATTAACAGTGAGTAGAAGTCAGTCTCATATGGGGAGTGTTGAAAATACTGTTAAAATAGAAAATGACTGGCTTTATCCTTTAACTTATTTATGAAATGAGAAAGTTCCCTATAGCCACCAGTGCATAAATTAGAAGTTTATGAGATGTAGAAGGTAAGTGAAGGAGGAAATAACCATGGATAACATTTAACTGGGATTTGTTTCAAGTCCTTGCCATTTTAAACATGTAGTTCCATCTTTTACCATTAATGTGCAGAAGGGTGTTAGAATTTTAGGATGGGGTATGCTTATCTATGGAGCTTCATTCTTAATTATCAGCGTACACATGCATGTTCACATACACAGAGAGCAGGAGAGTTCATTTAAACTGCCTTGTTCCCCTGTTGCCCTCTCTGGCTCATTTGGTTAAACAGCTGCTGGGGCTGGCCCGGCATGCCACAGTGGGGAGGGAAGGAGGGCAGGATGCAGCAGGAGTTCAATGGTGTGCTGGCGCTTCCTCTGTAGATGGAAGGCCAGGGGCAGCGTTGGTGTCTAGCTGGGGGTTGGGGTCCTGAAGGCAGCTGTATTCACATTGTGAGCTGATCTTTTACCTTCACTTGTTTATTGAGCCCTTAAATCTGAGACTTAAGCTTTTCTGAAAGGGCATTATCCACTTTGAGTGTCTATAAAACTGTATTCTACTTGAATGCTCCCCCATGTCTTTAGAATAAAATACGATTTGGTCTGTGAGCATTTACACCAATTCAGTTTCTGATTCAGTTATTAAATGCCTTTATCGGCTGCAAATGTGGATCCTATTCTACAGATGAATTCATTAGGCTGGATTCAGTGCAACATGAGAACATTAAGGAGCGGCTCAAATAACATACAGTACTTTAAAACAAATGATATACTTGGCTACACAGCTGCAGCTAACACAATATTTGACAATACAGACATTATATTTAGCGCCATGCTTCAATTTTTCCAAACTACTGTATAACCTATAGCAAATGTTCCTGTTTTTATAATAGTTGACATCTGGCAAAAAGAGACGTGGCACACAAAAAGATCTATATATTGATCTGTCCTTCTGCAAGTCTGTAAGTTTCCTCCAACCTTCTACTGCCTCAGTTGACCCCTGTGTCCTTTCCTTTTCTCCATCTTTAACCCCCACCTGTTCTGATTCCCTAGATCCTCCCAGCTCTCTCTTTCATCTCCCATCTGCCACTGAAGCTGCTGCAGGACACAGTGTGGGCCAGAGCAGGAAAGGCAGGATTGAATAAAGACAGATGTGTCTCTCAGCTTGGATAAGATTAAATAATTATCATGTTTACACCCCAATAAAACAGTAATTTTACATCTGCTGTTAACCAAAAAAATTGAAAAAATCAACTGGACTTGGTTTTAGGTAGAAGACATTTCAGCTGTCATCCAAGAGGCTTGAGTTCTGTCCGATTGGTGTTGAGCAGGAGATACACTGTATTTATCCCCTGGGTGGTGTTTCAGTCCTTTGATGGCCAACAGTGTCCCGTAACGACTGAATCGTTATAGCTCGGTATCGGTGAGCATCGTTACCCATCTTTGAACCTTCACATGTGGACTGACGCCTATTGTCCTGGTGTGAATTAGGGTGGGAATGTTTGGGCAGAGATTTCAAAACAGAGTTGTAGATGGATGCCAAGTTGTGTCTTAGTGGACTAAGACATACAGTAACTTGTCATCCATGTAAATGAGTCATAGCCCATTAGGTTGTACCGTTTAGTTTTATCCTAATCACTTTGACTTAGTTTTCTTATTCTTTTCTAGTCTATTTTTACTCTACTTTTATTCTATTTTAGTTTCCTAAATGGTATGGCGTTCAATACTAGGCGAGAGAGAAACGGTATTTCGATTTTCTATATGTTCTGCACATATAGTGAAGTGACAATAAAAATCTTTGATCTTGATCTAAGAGCGACCATTACAAATTATGTCAGCACCACAGAGGAAGGAACGAGGCACTGATTTGATGTAAGTGCTGGTAACTGATTAACTGATAATGGCCACAGGAAGTGAATATGAGCTGAGTGATAATTAGGCTAGTAATGAAGGGTACATGCTGGTTGATCAGTTTGGGTAAAGTGAATCTAAATGATGATAGTAAGTGAGAGAAATTCAACAGAATAACAATGGATATATGTTCAGCTGAAAGAAATGTTTATATCTTAAGAACTCTAATTGTGAGACAAAAAGAAGACATAGAGGTTCTGTTTGTGTTGTGATAATAAGGAAACTAGGAGTCTTCAGAGTCTGGAGGAAGGCTGGTGTTAGAGTAGATAATGTACATAGGCACAAACGGCTTGAAAATGGCTAAAAATACTGGTTCACAACATGGAATAATGGACATTAAGGAAAAGAACAGTAGTTCTCTTCATACTACTGTAAGTCAGCCATCCTACAACAGTAAAATGTCCGTGCAGATTCTCAGTCATCCAGGTCACAGTAGGCTGAAAAAACTGAAAAAAATCAACTGGACTAGGATTTTAGGTCGAAGACGTTTCACCTCTCATCCAAGAGGCTTCATCAGTTCTGCCCGACTGGCGTTGAGTCGGAGATATTTATCCCCATCGGTGGTGTTTCAGTCCTTTGAAGGCCAACAATGTCCCCTAATGACTGAGTCGTTATAGCCCAGTATTGGTGAGCACCGTTACCTGTCTTTGAACCCTCACCTGTGCACCAACGCCTATTGTCCTGGTGGGCATGTTTGGGCAGAGATCTCAAAACAGTAAGGAAAAGTTGATTTCCTAAGTAAACACAAGTGGCATAAGGTGTTTCAGAGCATTGATTTTATGACCTATGACCAGGGACGTTACTGAAAAATCATAAGACACAGTATTTCTGTCTGTATTATTGTTAGTCAGTGATTTGCCTAATAATGCACCTCTAGACATCCCTTTGACTCAGCTCATAAATTTACTGAAGTGGGAAGTGGCAGGGCTATGTGCATTTCTTGGTACCCAACAGTTTCAGCATCCAGCATAATGAGATCAACCAATCAGCCAAATGAAATGCATAAATCTGAGGTTTCATGTACACACTCATATGCACACACATGCACACACAAACAGCCCACCAGACGCCCACTCCACACCTCCTATTGTCCCACAGTCAGACAGCAGGCTGGTGCTGCAGAAGTGGCCACAACAGACCGACTTCTCCCCCGAGGGCCTGCTTGGGTCAGATTTGCAGCAGCTCCCCTTCTCTTTCTCCAAGTGTCCTTGGGGAGAAGGATCTCCAAGCTGCTGGGGGCTGTAAATGAGGCAGATGCCGGCCACTCAATCTAATGGGAGGTCTGGGGGGAAGACATGACTCCTCTTTGGTTCCCATGCCCCATGGCATGCTCATGTCACACTCCTGCAAGTAATACAGATGACAGCAGCAGACAGGATGCACTGTCCATCTGCTCTCCTGACACAAAGACACACACACACCCCACACATCCCCCTCAGTACAAAGACGTAACAGGTACTGAAGGTGGAGCCAGTAGATGACAGTATATACATTTAAAAGTGTTTTTGTTTCTCCCAAAGGAAAGAAAATGATGTATGAACTATGTGTGACATGAGGGTTGAGATATTTAAGAAATATATTGTATAGATATGTGCTACACACACATGCACACAGATACACATGCATTACACATGCACTACAATTCATAGTTACAAGTTTCAAATTGATATAATACTGTCCACATAGTTTGATCTGCAAACAAAGACCTAAAATGTTAACTTTCCATTGTGTTAGATTTATATTTTATATTGCTTCACAATTTTCTTGAGAGGTTTGTTGAAAAAAATTCTAAATCTATTTCTCAACATGGATCCTAAAATATAGGTAGAGGTCACACACATGAGCATATTCTGTGAGGCAATAGTCAAATGAAATTTTTCGATTGCAGTTGTTGTTCTTGCATGTGGTCTAGTTTGGAAGGCTTACTGAAACGGTAACTAAAAAAACTTAATTTTGTCAATGACCAGCCAAAATTCCTTAGACTAATTTGGACTCAAGTTTGCTGATCATCGCCCACCAGAGCAGGAAGGCTACTGGGAAAGCTCTTTACTTGCTCTACATGCCACTGTGAATGTTTCCTCCATCGTTTGTCCTCATTGTCCTGCAGGGAAGCGTGCCAGGATATACAGGGGGCCACTCCAGGCACGCGTCCTTTTGTCTCATTATAATATATGTCCCCTGCCCCCATCCACTTATTACTACCATGCACATACAAATAACCCAACACACATGCTCCTACAATATGGGATTAATCATTTCATGCCATCGTCTCCTTCACATTTTTTTAAATACTTTATATCGATTTGTTCAAATGTTTTTGTTCACTGGAGTCAGAATGACACGTTTCACCTCCATTCAAACAGTCCGAATCAAACTCGCCTTTAAAAGCCTAGCACATCCGTGTTAATGATGGAAACGTGGGATGCTGTTAAACTAACCTCCAGGCCATCATCACATCATGGAAGATAACCAAACACAAATCAGCAGTTAATAAGACATATATTTAGGGGCTCTAAAACCCCCAAGCAACATTAACTCTGAAGCTGCATATTATTCCATTAAACTAGAATATGAAGGTTTATATCACTGAAAGTTGGATCAGCTGTACTGCGCAAATAAGGGTGTGAGGTGTGTTTGCCCTCCACCACATCCCTGCAAGCGACAGGTGCAGAAACCGACGGTCGACTACTTTTCTTCTTAAATCAATACGGGGTTAGAGGTTTTGTGTGTGAGCGTGTGTGTGTGTGTGCTTTGGTGGGGGACAATAGCCGGGCTTGGAACCCCACACGGTCGACCATGTGCCATTCATTAGCATACAGCTGTTCGCACAAGGTCTACCCACCCCAACGCGCACAAGCACACACATACACACATCCCCCATCACCCTCCAAGAGGCCCGGATAACAGCTAGACGCACAATAAGGTCGGATCCGTGACCGCCCACTCTTTGTCACCTCACACGCGTCAGCGCAATTAAAAAGTTGGATATAAAGAATAAGAAACTATATACTATTCTTTCCTGCTTTCTTTTGATCTTTGTTTGGTGTGTAGGCAGCTCCAAAGTGGAAAAATACTAAACAGTGATCAACAGTTCATTTCTGTAGTGCATATTTGATGAAATGCTTATTTGTGCCACGCCTATTCACAATTTTCCTAAAGGAAATGTCTAAACAATGTAATATGCTTTTAGATAAAACGTTTTTGTGGTCAGTTTTGGAGGAAATCTCCCTCCAACCCCATTATTATTAAAATGTTCCACTAAAACCTGGCTAGTTTATTAAGTCGATTCTCTGTTAATGTCTTGGTAACTATTCGGACTACGATTTCCATCACCCACATCATTCTACACTTTTTTGCGTAATTAAGATTCATTCATGCTAAACATATCCGCCCTGCGCCAGCTTCTTATGCATATTCCAAATAAGAACTTGGTCCAGATGTAACGTGGGCTTTCTAAATCCCGAGGCAGAACCCCGTGCCAGGCTGCTCCCCAGAGG